TATTCTCGTTGTATAACTATTCAGTAACTAGACTATATATATCTATATTCCACTTATTATAAGCTTCATTTTGCCCTATAGATTATTAGAATACGACTTATTGTCCTTAAGTTATGCCAAGTTTATTAATTACAGTCTCCCACGTTCACAGCCACTTACTGGCTAGATCTCGTACAAATGTTATTTCCTATTTTATGCTACGATATGGTCTGTTTGGCTGGTATACAAACTAGGTATGCTTGAAATAAATGATTTGTATGGTGGAAGCTGGTGTGGACTCAACTGACAGGGCTAGGAGGGTAAAGGATCAGTAAGGACGCTAGGCTGTTCATACCGGTCGAACGTCATTGGTTTAGCACAGTATTAAGATTGAATAAGTTGTATTTCGATTGACGAATAAATCACATGATGATAAGTGGCCTTAAAAACACAACAAGTAGTGTCATATTAGTTGTGAGATTATGTAAGTGTACAAATCTTATTGAAGCACAAATTAACTAAATTTGACAATATGAAACACTAAACTTAAACTTACTGGTCTACAACTGTCATGTTTTGTCCTTGTTGAAGATCTGAATGGTGAGACTATAATTTGTGGACGAGCCAATCACATTTAGAATAATAGGTCTCTGATTCTGGTGCGAAAATCACTCACCCATTTGGTCAGATAGCTTCTTGATATTTTAGCTGATGACAGTTCATGATGAAAAACGGTAAATCTAATTCCTAACCCTAACCATCAACTGTGAATCATAATCCTTATTCTTAAAACTGTTTTATAACACTCATTTAGTCTTAGTAAGTAGGTAGACACTCTCAAAGTCACTTTGGCGTCGCTTAAAGGTCGTCCATAAATTATAGTCTCACCAAAAACTGCTTAATCCTTCTCTAATATTTTAACAATTACCCAGTTAATATTAATTAGTCATATCATTATAGTAAACACATGCTCAATAAATAATAATGTTAGCATAGTCTTTTATCCAAAAATATATTATCATCAGAAACAAATGAATTCCAATTGTATAATAAGATCACAGGATAGATAGACATCATCCTTCCTTGAGAAGCATTTGATTGAGACTGGTCATAAGGTTGACGTCAAGTCAGCATTTGTAGTGTTATACAAAAGCCTTCAAGGACGTATACTAAGGTTTATTGAAGCCTTGACTATACGGAAATTGAAACCCCCTTTATGTGTTCAAAAACAATTTGTCCTTACACTTTACCTACCCTGGTAATACTGATTTATTATCCAGAGTGGTAATCACATTGTTTTTGTGTACTTTATATTATTATTTTTTTCAACAGTTAAGATCATGAGTCAACCATGGACAACCATGGAAAACCTGGAAGCACTGGACGGCCGTTTCGTCCTAATGTCGGACTCCTCAGGTTCTTCCAGTGCTTTCAAATTTTCCATAGTGATCTAGCTTCAACTAACTCATGATCTCAACTATTGAAATCACTATAAGTAATATGGTGCGTTCATTGTCAACTAACCAATTAAATTCATCATACATAATATAATTTACTATTATAAGACTATTATGTTTTAAAATACAATTCAATCAGATAATATATTCGTTCTAATAGATGATGAGGTGGTTATGTTAAATAAAAGACTAAAAAGATAAGTTATTATTCTCAAATCATTTTGACAAATATCTTGGGTAAATGAATAATTTACAGATTTTATAGTGAACCGACGAAGGTTTAACATATCTCCTTGTAAACCTGGAAGCACTGGACGGCCGTTTCGTCCTAGTATGGGACTCCTCAGCAGTGCGCATCCACGATCCCGCACCACGCGGGAAGGAAGATCTAAATGTGCTTTACATCATAGTATGTTAGAATAATGAAACGGCCGTCCAGTGCTTCCAGGTTTTCAATGGTGGTCTAGCTTCAACTGACTCATGATTTCAATCTGTGAAAATTTCTAAAAATCTCTACAAACCCCTTCTGATAATAATCATCTGCTCACTAGTGACTGACTTCAAAAGATACTCCTGGAGTTCTAGTGGGAAGCCGTTACTAGTGGAGTACAACCAGGTCTGTTGTGAGATATCAGCTCACTGAAGACAATGGTATATGGTGGCGCAACTTCGTGGATTGGTTGAAGTTAGACATTAACACCGTTGGATGCCGGCTCAGTGGTCTAGCGGTTAATTGCTCGTGCGCGAAGCCAGTAGGTCCTGGGTTCGAGCCCCGCGTGGTGCGAGATCGTGGATGCGCACTGCTGAGGATTCCCATATGAGGACGAAACGGCCGTCCAGTGCTTCCAGGTTTTCCATGGTGGTCTAGCTTCAACTGACTCATGATTTCAATCTGTGAAAATTTCTAAAATCTCCACAAACCCCTTCTGATATCTCCTTGTATTAACAGGTAATCTGTTTAACTTTTCCTAATATTATTAAAAACTATGAAATCCCAATTACTATATTGTTTATTATTATTATTATTCTCTATTTCAAATAGGTTATTACATGGTTTCAAAATCGTCGAGCTAAATTAAAAAGAGAAGCTGAAGAACTTGAACGTGATGTAATGGCATTAAAAAAACAAAAACAACAAAAATTTACTTGTCTTTCATTATCTGATCATAATCATGATGAAATAGATATCAATAATGAAGATGAACAAGGAGATAACCACGACAACGACGATGATGATGATGAAGAAGAAGAAGAACAAGAAGGACAAGAACAAAAAGAAAAAGAAGAGAATTCACATAAAATTCAATATTTAACACAATCCCCTTCAATATCTTCATTGAAACATTTTACATCACCAACATTGAATACACATGAAACATTGAATATGAATTTGTTTATTAATCCATTCAATGAATTCACTAATGAATCATTCATAAGTGATAAACTATTAAATGAGAAATTTTTAAAAAGAAATAAGGATTTAAGTGAACAACAATGTCACTTATTAAATCATCATATAAACAACCACTGCAATAATCCTAATAATAATAATGATAGGAAGAACAGTAACGATGGAATAAATAAGGGTAGATCTTTTAAGAAATGTCAGAAAATTTGGTGCCCTGCCTTAGAATTAGAACAAGAGATTAGTTAAATAAACCTTCTTTTTCTTTTTTTCTTTTCTTTTAACTCCGTTTTTTTATATTAAATTCTCTTTTTTGTTGTTGCTGTGGAAACAATGATTATTCAACGAATTTAGATAAACAACAATTATTTGTAAAAATGTGAACAAACTTAAATATAATTCATGAAATCATAAAGCAACAATTTGTTTATAAACTTTTATGCATTTTTCTTTTGATCATTAAATGAATTGATTTAAGTGTAATGGTGGATATGATAAACAGTCACAATGATCGAACATACGGGACTCGAAACCAGGACCTTGGGTCTCCTAGATATCCAATAATATTAATTGTCTAACTTCTGTTGATCCGTGAATGATTGTGCAATCATTCATCGATTATCTGAGGTAAATACTTGTCTCTACCCGATACAGATTGAACTCCACTGGTTATACAGAATCAACATATTTTCAATGACAATCATTGTGTAAGACTGTTAACATGAATTATTGATTAATAAATGAGTAGTTTATAGTGTATATTGAAGAGAATGCTGGTCATGAAATAAAAACAACTAGAGAGTTATTGACAAAACAACAGACTATGACCTTATTTTTTTATCCTTAATTTTCGATGGAGATTTGTTCTCTGGGCTGGATGGTTTGGTCGTGGAGCTTTCATCTTTCTTCTGAACGACATCATCAGCGCAAAATTCAGATAGAAGTGACGTGTTCGAATTTCTCCATATGCGTTTCGCAGCTTGTTATGTACACCTCGACGTTAATTGGTTCTTATTGACCTTAAATTTGCCGTTGTTTACTTCACAGAACAAGCTGTGAAACGCATATGGAGAAATTCGAACACTTCACTTCTATCTGAATTTTGTGATGATGATGTCGTTCAGAAAAATGATGAAAGCTTCACGACCAAACTATCCATCTCAGAGAACAAAACTCCATAAAAATCATCCACCTGAGCTACAAATGTTCTCCATCCTTAATTTTCAGATTTCTCATAACGAAGTTTGAAATTATTGACTTGATTTACTTTTAATATCTAGGATAAATACTTATGACAAGCTTGAAAATAAAACGAAAGATTTATATTAGGATGTTTAATGAACATTTCAGAATATTGTAGTTTACATGTAGATGAGAAACCATTGGGAACTAGGAGGTATTAAACAACCGTTTTGTCTTGGTATGAGATTAATCAGAATGAAACTATGCTATACCGACGACTTTAAACAATTTTAAGGATGACTTTAGTATTAACCCATCAAAACAGTCTGGATCCGGCTTTAGTATAAGAGCTCTAAAATATAGAAAAATGATAAAAGTACAGAGGATTATGAGTTTTAACACTATTATTGAACTTATTAATGCTAAATAACGATAACTTAAGCCTTAGTCCAAAACTCTGTAACCATGATAAATACTAATTTCTAGCCTCACATCATTTAAAACTTAACTCCTAATCCTACAACTCCTCAACCCTAGACTCTAACCTTAAATCTTCTTAATTCAAACTCCTAAACCTAATAGTTTTAAATACTTGCTTTAACTTTGGTACTTCTAACTTTAACACCCCAAAACCCTAACTTCTAAACTTGGTTTTCCTAATCTTAACAGTCTTAACGTTAACGTTTTGAACCTTAACAGTTCGTTCTACGAGAAAACCGTCATCCAATTTTTTCATAGTGCAAAATATGATAAAAATGAGTTTCAGCAACAAGCTATCTGCAACAGAGTTTGAGATTCATGCATCGGAGCGCTTAATTTTCATTAGTCGTGCAATGTTGTCAGCATAGAGTAGCTTTCCTTTAACGAGAAATGAGTACGCCAGTTACATGCTAGATCAAATATCTCTTCAGTCTTTCCTGATTTTTAATGTCTAGATACACGAAGTTCCTAATGTAAATTTAAAAGAAATGGGATATTTATCCAGTTAATCTCGAATTCCAATCATTCAACAAATAACATTGTTTCACAATGAAATATTCAAAGCTTAATAATTCGTTAACTTGCTCCGGTAACTAGAATCGTATCATAAAAATCGATAGTTTCTTTCAGCTTCTAGACATCATTTAACCTTGAAAAACAAATACAAGTAAGCGTTGAATTTGTCAGTTTTCTTTTATCAGAATGAGAATTTTTGAAGATTGCGGTAAGTTTAATAGTTGAGTTCATGAGTGAATCTAAACTAGACCAATAATGAAAAGGTGGTAGCACTTGATTGACATTTCGTCCTAGTATGGAACCCCTCAGTAGTGCACATTCACGATCGCATACACGGAAATCGAGGAGTCCCATGCTAGTGAGACGAAACAGTCTTTTAGCGCTTCTAGGTTTGATGATGATGATGATGATGATGATGATGATGATGATGATGATGATGATGATGATGATGATGATGATGATGATGATGATGATGATGATGATGATGATGATGATGATGATGATGATGATGATGATGATGATGATGATGATGATGATGATGATGATGATGATGATGATGATGATGATGATGATGATGATGATGATGATGATGATGATGATGATGATGATGATGATGATGATGATGATGATGATGATGATGATGATGATGATGATGATGATGATGATGATGATGATGATGATGATGATGATGATGATGATGATGATGATGATGATGATGATGATGACGATGATGATGATGATGATGATGATGATGATGATGATGATGATGATGATGATGATGATGATGATGATGATGATGACAGCTGTGAGTTATCATAGTGGCTGAGAAAAGTCAAAAAGATATTAGTCTTAATATGAAAAAACCTTGGATCATAACTACTTACCAATTACCTACAATCATCAGAAGTCAAATTAAACTTTTCTAACTGATTAATATTGATTATCGATAATGATTTCATGGATGAGTGATTCAATGAAGATTGACACAAATTAATCTTTTCACTCTCTTCAAATTTGTAAATATGAATCAATTTTATTGTCCTCCTCAGTGGAGAGATATATTATCCGTTTCTGATTAATATGAAAGTCTATGTCCCTCTATACTGTAATTCATTCTCCTCTTTCTAAATTTGACTATTCAAAAAGACGATCTTACAAGAAAAATTTATTAGTAAAGACCGGAGAAAAATGATTTCAGAATACACTTTCCATTTAATTTCAGGATCTTTTTTGTCAGTGTTTTATTGAAATTCTAAAAAGGTTTCATGATCGGGGGGAGCTCAGTAGCATCAACGTCGAGATACAGTTCATCGGTAGGATGTTATGATCATTGTATCTATCATATTATGGATACACTGAATTCGCTATTATTGTAAATAGCTGAAATTCAAATTAATGGATTAGATCTAATAAGTAACTTCAGGTGAGTTTTTTTTGTATAAGTTTCCAACTAGGACAAAACTACTCCTCAATCCAAGCTAGTTTTCAATAAGCTGATACAATACAAATGTATTAGGATGGTAATTGGTAATCAAGTTAATCAAACTAATGATGTCAACCAGTAACAACGTAGAACTTTGTACGTACGTACATCAGTTCGAGTTGCCACACCACATTAGCACAGAGATGCAGTTGTCGATTCAAATCCCGTAGTGGTAGAGGTAGTAAGAGTATAAGCAATAATCGGGAAGATTAGGGTTTGAAGATGTTATTCAACGAGTATAATCCAGTGAAATAAATTTGGAAAAAGGAAAAAGAGACAAGAAGAATTCAGAAGATTAGAATTTGGGAGAACACAAAAAGTGGATGCACCTGCACCATTGCAAACGATTTTCAACCATATCATTCAAGGTCTCTAACCATCGGTTGCTATCGTCTTGCGGATCGCAACCAGGTAGTCTACACCTACCAACATGACTCAGTCCACTTGTAAATGACTTCATGGATTTTTGTCATGTTTCGGTTTGGACGCCCCTAGCTTTCTTCCAACCTACTCCTATACCACTGAACATAGCACGTCGAGGTAGTCGGTCGTTGGGCATACGTAACACGTGTCCCAGCCATCTCAACTGATGAAGTTTCACTACTTCATCAATCGATTTCCATCCTTACCTACTACCCGTTTCCTAACAACTGCATTACTTACTCGATGGTCCCAGGATATACGAGCAATGTTTCGAAAACACCTATGATCAAGTACTAGTAACTTATGGATATCCTCTACTCTTACCGACCATGTTTCACTGCCATAAAGTAGGACAGAACTAACTGCTGTGTAGTAAACACGTCCTTTGGTTGGTAGATGGATATCTCGCCTACGCTACAAATGACGCAAGTTGGTAAAAGCTAGTCGAGCCTTCTGTATCCGTGCTGAGACTTCGTCACACACCAAACCACAAGGGGTGATGATACTTCCAAGATAAGTGAAGCGGTCGACACGCTCAACTACTTCACTCCCTACCATTAGTTCGGGTGTCGATGCAACCCAATCCTGATGTAACATTTTACATTTCGAGGGGAAGAATCGCATCCCAAACTTGCTTGCATTGCAAACTAATGATGAGATATTTACAATCAACTAATAGAATTCTTAAAAAATAAACGACTAACTATCACTCCTATTTATGTAAATACATAAATTATATACAATTACTTTCAATTATTCACTTTATATAGATCTTTCTATCTTGTATTCTTAAAATTATCTTTTGATTAACTACAATGATAATTAACTAGAATTTATACTGACAAGATATAATTTTAACTAATTTCCACCATATGAATATTCCCTACCATTGTTTCTTCTTATATCTCTGTCGTTGTCATATGCACACACACACACAAGCAAACTCTCTATATATAAACATTGAGAATAAACACTTGGAAAGAAAAACAACACAGAATAACTCTTACTGATTATAATCTATCACTATAAATACTACTGTTATCACAATATCAGTATACGATATATTATACTTATCAATAATTACTTTTCGAAATTATCCCTTAAATACAACCACATGGAGAGAGTGAGTGAAATAGAGTGAGAGAGAGAGAGAGCGGGTGAGATTAGGTTTTGTCTTTAAAATGAAAAGAATTAACTTTTCAATACCTTTCTTTCTGTTTAGTTAACAAATTAGTGTTAAATAGTTTGTATTTTCTGACTGTATTTCAATTTCTTCTTTTAAATATACAGATATATATATATATGTGTGTGCTATATGGCTATCATACATCCTATATTACTAAGACAAATCACATACCGGTCACTATGAAGAGACGATGATAATCTTGTAATTACTATGTCAGCAGTTTTAATTTTCTTTTTCACTAAAATTTGTTGGAACAGCTGAGAAATTATCTTGAACAACATGTATTACAATTGGATGAGATATTGATTATAATGATAATGAAGTTGTAGACAGTATTATTGTTCAATGTAGTTGACTTTTTTTCTGCTTCCCCTTCGCCCTCCTCCTCCTTCTCTCTCTCTCTCTCTATCACCTAATATTTTTCAATCTAACTAACCAGACAAAATAGAGAAAACATAACTAATTATTTCGAAAATTACTGTCTACCCATTTACATATATGTAAACTCTTTAATACTTTCCTCATAGGAATTAATTGTAATAAATAGATTTACTTTTTGTTTCACTCTGTTGCTGACGTTATGATTAACAGTATTCTAATTATTCATTTTGTTGTCTTGTCTCTATGACTTCACCTATCCACTAACCCCTCCCCTCCTTATTTTTAAATACCACTTCTATACAGTACATTCACACATTTCAACATGTATGTATATCAAATGAGTTTACATGACTATGTAAACTGTGTTTTTTAAAAAAAGAAAGAAAGGAAAACACAAATTACTGAATATTGAAATTTACTACAACACCTTTCATTAATTATGTTTTCATAATGAAAGCCAAAAGGGAATTGATGCTATTTAGAACGATATTATTATTATTATTATCATTACCACTGTTGTAATTGTTGCTGTCCTAGGTAGATTTGATTATTTTTTTTTAATGACAGCAAGAATCTGTTGTGCCGATTGCTTGTTACATATCATAACCAATCTAATCATATTATATATAGCTCAGCAGGCTTTCTTGCGAAAATCTTGTTTTCATTCTTTTCTATTTTTGAAAGAAAGAAAGTAAGTAAGTAAGTAAGAAAGTAAGTAAGTAAGAAAGTTAACTTCTTTTCCAAGAAAAGAGGAATAAGAAATTGATGCATTTATTCTATGCATAATTTGAATATTAAATGTCTAACTAATTATAAAATAATTCTATCTTTAAATTACATTCACTCGATCGTTTGTGTTGTTTGGCTGGTTGATTGTCCAATTATCTACTAGTTCATGTTTAAATATGTGTGAAATTCAATAATTTTTTGAAAAAAAATTTTTCACGCGCGCATTACAAATGGTTGTGTTAAAAGGTTGTGTAAATTTTATTATGTCAAAGTATAAATTAGAAAACAGGGAAATTAATTTTAAATTAGGTTTTCATGTAGTTGAACAATAAGTATGTATGACAGTTTGAATGTATGTATATATACATACTTATGTAGGTAATTAATCCTAATATGTATATATATAGTGTTAACTGAACAGTGTTACTACTGTCGCTTTGATGGGAAAGGATATCTATGATGACATGAATATTTGTGTATTATGGTGATAATCATTTATACTGAAATTAGTAATGATGATGATGATGATGGTTATGATAATTATGATATTAATGAAGTATGGCGGGTGTTGATATAAAATAATGAAAACTGACGAAAATTCGATGATGGTGTTAGGTGGGTGGTGAGAAGTATACTTTATTATTATTAAAATAATAATAACTATTCACAACTTTCAACTACTTTTTAACTGATATGATTGAAATGAACATATAGCTATGCATATATGGTACTAACTATACTACTAACAATAAAAGCAATGATAATCATGACAGGACAATCTTGTTTATGTCAACTAATAAAATGTTAGTAGAATATCGTAATTTGTCTAAAATTGTGTAAATGTAAACGCTGGACAAAAAACAACAACAACAACAAAAGCAAAATCTACCACACTATCAATACCTGACTAAATAGTTGTGTTATTCGTTGACATTCACACTTATCATAATAGTAATAATCATGGTATATATTAATTGTATTCAACATTTGTGGTTTTTCATTGTTTGACTTATCAACTAATCAGGAAATATGAAGGGGAATAAGGTGGCTATGACAGTCTGCAGTGAAAATCACAAAATCTCACCAACATTAATTATAACAATACTACTACTACTACTACTACTACTAGTAGTAGCAGTAGTAGTGGTGGTGGTGGTAGTAGTAATAGTAACAATAGTAATGATAACATCAATTGTTATAATTGGTGTAGACAGAATAAAGACAATTAGGTAGGATTTTAATCATCTATCATTTAACCACAATGTAAAAAAAAGAAATACATATACATAATCATTGACAAAATGAATAACATATTAACCAAATTCTTTGTTATAATTCTTCTTATTACCACCTTTACTATGGACAACAACAAAAAAAAAGAAAATACAATTGTACATGTGAAAATTATTGTAAAACTTAGGAAGAAAAAGGTGAAAAGAGTGAAATTCATCAAATAAACATTGGGATGTTTTGAAGAAGAAGAAAAAGAAGAGAAGAAGAAGAAGAAGAAGAAACATGAAGTACACACTGATACACAAAACTGAAGAAGCCGGACAATAACAGTAGTATCAGTAATAATAATAATAATAGAGATTTAGTTTTCATGTCATTTATATTAAAGAAGTTAATTGCCAAATGATTTATTTGTTTTAAAAAAGTAAAACGAAAACATAAACTGACGAAATAATATCTCATTTAT